ATTTGCTTGTGCGTCACCTTATGGTAAACCGACGCCATGCAGTCGGAGAAATCATTATCGGAAAACACTTTAAATATTTCCAGTCATCTTCTAATGGCTCCAATATGTCATCAGATAACCAATGACGGGATTTACGGGTCATAGGTCACACGTTAAAATAGTGCTGCGAGCGAGTGTGGTATATAATCGTCCCTGCACCTGCGCTGGGATCTTTGTGAAAGCCACTCCTCACGTCATCCCAGATGACTAAGAGACTCACAATAGCCAATCTGAAAAAGGCACAGCGCTTGCACTTTCTGCGGTGCTTAACCGCGGCATCACTGTGTGGTACAACAATACTACCATGCATGACAGAGATGCACTACAAAAGGTTGTGGTAATGGGACAGAGGATTATAGGATGTGATTTACCATCAATCGACGAGATCCACACCATCATTCACAGGATCCCAACCATCCAGGCCACAACCTGTTCTCCCCCCTACCTTTCTGGCAAGCGATTCCACACTGTTAAATCATGGACCACTTGACTCAAGTATGCATTCTCAACAGCTAACTGCAGTGCCTTAATACACATCTGCACTACACACTTTTTACATAGTCTACCATTTTGTTTGGTCTACTACATATTTATTGTTCCTGTTGTCTACATTTTGTGGTGCTGTCTGTTGTACTGTATGCGTCCCGAGAGATCAGTGCGATTAAGAATTCCAATGTACGCGTACTGTACGTATGGCGATAAACTACTCTGCTGTCGACGGCAAAGTTGAACGAGAACTGGCTGTACTCTGTAGAGCGTTCATCACCAACTGGCTTTCTTTGGAGACGCCGGTGTTTTTTCATCGTTTGAACCTCGCAGAACATTACAAAACACTCCCGATGTAGGACACCCCATCCCTTAGTATCAATGTGAACCACCCCCCCTACAAACGGCAGAAACAATGATACCCAACTTATTCGTTTGTGTTATGTATTGCTAACTAGCAAATTGATAGAACAACAGGTTTTAAAGTGTGCCAAGTGTGCGTGTCCAGGAGACATTTTACCGCGTAGGAGCTGCGCTGAGCCTGTTTGAAGAGTTTGTCAGGTTACAGTGAAGTGCGTTTGTCATGAAACCAAAATCTTACACCCAAAAAGATGAGCTGAGAGGTCTACTTTTCCCAATCTAATTTGTACGATTTTATTATACACAACCCGAACACAATAAAATATTGGCAATAACGTCTTGCTTTATACTGTTTTCAGGCCATTCGTTAACCTTACTCGAGTTGGAACGTTTTGGATGCTTCAGTCAAGCTATTTTTTTATTTTCTTTCAAATAAAACATTTTATCTTTCTCGGGATGTCCCTAATAGCTTGCAGTAAGGCCTTAATTAGATACAGTACATTATGTGTATATGGTACTTATGCCAATTAATAGTAGGTAATTCTGTCTGTATTTTAGCACTGTGGTTCATCACTGAAGGCCAGATAGACCCTTTTTAATAACACTTTACACATAACAAAAGAGAATCCAAACAGCATATTGCTGCTTAGTAAGTGGGTAATTTTTGACCCAACCCAAAACCTGCTGCTAACATCAATCCTGACGATTAAACCACTCTTAAGATCCTATACTAACACTGTGAGAATTGAGTAAATGTTTTATAGCAGTGATATCTGAAGAGAAAAATACACAGGTAACAGAAAACCTTTTAAATTCTGTCAGAGTTTGTGCAAATTAAAAGGCTGTATTGCATGTGGCTGACATGATGTAAAGTTAAGAAATAGAAGAATTGAATGTTTTCTTCAATATAGAAAATAAATGAGAAGCCTCACAAAGACAGGAAAATAATTCTGAAACTCTACAATGTAGCACTGAACTTGTCAAAATTTGGATAAAGAGGCCTTGTGATGGATGTAAAATTACCAAAAACACCTTTATGTTAAAACCATGTAATGCCAGTTAGGAAAACTGCATGCATTTTCAATGAATGCTTACTCCACAGAAGAAAAGACTTAAGATGAGTTTTAGTAAAACCTAGACAATGGCATCATTTATTGTAGCAAGAAACAATCATTTACAAATCAGTTAACAGAAAATACTTTTTTGCAAACTACAACTTTGCAGGTCGGTAATTTATTACAGACATTGTATTACATTTCCTTTGTAAACTACAGTCTAGTTTATAAAACATGACAGTAAGAACGGACACCATCAGATGCTCATCAAAAAAGCATTAGAGATGTCACAATATCACAACAGATTAGAACGCTACAAAACAAGTTTTTTCTTTTAAAAATGCTGAGTTCATACATCGTACCCTAAATCCCAAGGATACAGAGTGGCTTATCTTGTATTACAGCAGAAATCAATAAATAATGATTTATAAAGACTTACTGTTTCTTTTTCTTTTTAATATGTAGGGACTAGAAACATATCCCATTTCTTTTATATATATTTCAACATATTTATATTTAATTCTTCCTCAGTAATACTGAGTAACATACATGTAATGTATGCATGATGAAACAAAAAATCCCTCTAAACATTGTGACATCTCTAATTGACATGACATTTAAGACTTAGATTTCTGAAACAAAATCCTGCTTTCGTAAAAACACCTTATTTACACATTAAACACACCTGGCCACAGGCTTGCTTCAAACAAGTATTACAGTCATTGAAAACCCATTTTAAAGATGAGCAAAAAAGGAAAAGAAAGAATCTTCCCTCTTCTTTTCCTAAAAGCACCTCAAATGGTTTGTCAACACAACTGTTTTCTGAAAGAACAAAGACAAAAGTGTCAAAAAACACTGTGCAATCTTTGCACTTACTCAGACAATACGTTTGTCCCATCTTTCTTTATTTTCCATTCCTGCATAGACAGATTAGTCTGGTGCACTTGTTCACTAGGCATGTGACAACGCCCTTTTCTTTACAATTCCTGAAAGATCCTAGTGCAGTAAATTATAAATACTGTGCCCTGGCAAGGATGTTTACACACAAGACAAACAGCATCCCTGTTCTGTAACTGCTGTGCACCTCAGGAATGACATTTTTTTCTATTTTCCTTTTGTTCAAAATATTGGAATCCAATTTCACCACAGTCTGGACATAAACAGTATTTTCCCACAAAACCAAATTCTACCAGGGGCTTATATCATGAAAAGTAGTGGCAGTTACCTGAATGACAAGAACAACATTCTGAGATCTTGACATGTAGAGCTGAAATACATTTTAATATCTAAATGCATACACCATCGGTATGTATGCGTATTTAGCTTATGGATTCTGGTTACATGAGACCCTTATCGAAACAGAAAACTGGTGATTTCTACAGAAAAAAAAACTTTTAAAACGAATCCTACTTTTTGTTAAGGGACAAATATACATCTACTTAATACTGAAGCTTTAAACAAAGACTTAAGAATCTCTTCTATAAAATGTTCTAAAATAAAGGAAAAAAAAACATTCATAAGCACTTTTTACAAAGATTATACAGTAGCACAATAAAATAAAAATTGGTGTACAAATTAATGAAGTAACATTTTTAAGACACCAATAAATAACCAGTGTTTACATTATCAGTAATCTTTCTTTTACTGTTGCAGACAAAAGCATTAACATAAAATAAGCCAAGCTGTTTTTTTTTCTACAAAAGCTATTTTTTTTATTCCCCTAAGATTTAACAGAGGGCCCAATCCTTATACCCCTGCAATTTCTTTAGCACAGACGACAATTAAATGTATAAATAACAAGGCAGTGTTTCTTTTCTCCATGTAAAATAAAAAGTACATAAATAAATACAAAATGAATAGAACATAATTCTCATCCTCGTTAGTATAAAAACATATAAAAGGGATCCTTCAGTCACAAGTTTTTTTTTTTATTTTTCCTTGCTTTTCAAAAAAATATTTAAAAGAGTGCTTCTTCAGTTCTTACAAAAAAACATCTAAATGGTCCAAACAGGCCAGAGATTTTCATTTCCACTCTACTTGAATTGATCTGGAATGTGCCCAATTTGGGACTGCATGCTTGTAGGAGGGCTGGAGATGCCTTCTGACCAATCAGACATGTTGGAATGTGGAGAAGAGCTAGACCATTGATCAGGGGATCCTGGGGAAGGGGTCAGAAAGGGGTGATCAGACATCTGGTGCTGGTGGTTGGGTGTGTTGTCCAAGGGGGCAGAGTAACTATGTTGTGAGGGAGGGGTAAGGAACTGGGTGCTGGGCATGGTCTGGTTGAGTGAGGTGGGAAGGATCTGTGTCTCCTGGGGCAGGATGGTGTGGATCGGTATGGCGTTTCCAGACACCTGCTGCAGATCGGACTGGCTCAGGTCACTGCTTATGAAGTTCTGGCTGATGGTGTGACCACTGGTGGCAGTATTAGAGTTCTGGTGCTGCAGCTGAATGCTCTGCTGCTGTTGCTGCTGCTGCTGTTGCTGTTGTAACTGCTGCTGAAGGTTCTGCTGGTGCTGCATCTGCTGCATCTGTTGCGCCTGCATTAAATGCGGCTGGGTGGTGAGCCTGGTGTTCTGCATCCCCTGGTAGCTCATCATCTGTGACAGAGTGGTGGTGGGGAGCCCATTGTGTAGAGAGGTCATCATGCCATGCTGGAGGGATGGGGTGGCCTGGTGCATGCCCCCTTGGCCTGTATTCCTCATGGGGTTGAACTGGTTCTGCCCCATATTGCCGTGCATCCTTGAGAGCCAGTCGCACTGGCCATTCATGCCGGAGCCCCCACCCATTGCCATGGTCATGTTACCGTTGCTTAGCACAGAGCTGCTGGGGCTGGAGACAGGCAGATGGGAGAGGCGGGGCGGCACCGAATCAAACTGCATCCTGCTGGAGCCTCCCATGGTCATGTCCTGCTTACCTGCCATGCCCAGGTGATTGACCCCGATGTGGGTGTCAGACATGCCCTGCAGATGGTTGAGGGGCATGGAAGGGGACTGCTGGAAGGGTGACGTCATCATGGGTGGAGAAGCTACATCTGACATGTACCCATGAGGAGACTCCAGGGAATCCACGGGGGAGAGGACAGCCGAGCTGTCCAGCAGACTTCCTTTGCCATCCTGGGACTTCTTCCTCCTGGCTTTGATATCTTTGGCATCTTTGCCATTGCAGCTGATGCCCTTGGCACTCGGTTTCCTGGCTTTCTTGCCCTGCGCCGAAGGCTTCATGCTGCCAAGGTAGCTGTTTGGCGAACAGAGAGGAGGGGAGAGGGTGGCGCTCATGGGTCCGTTGTGCATGGGAGGGCTCCTCACCAGATTGTACTCATCCAGCAGGCGCACGATGTCGTGATGCATGCGTTCCTGGGCGATGTCACGCGGCAGCCGGTCCATGTGATCGGTGATCTCGCGGTTAGCGAAATGATCCAGCAGAACCTTGGCAGTCTCGTAGCTTCCTTCTCGAGCAGCAAGGAACAGAGGCGTTTCCTCCTGGTGAGAGGGAGAAAAGGTCCGTGTCAACAAGTCTTCCTACACGGCTGTAGGCTTAACTTTTCAGATCTCTCAGGCTTTGCACTATACACTGTGTTAAGCAAAACGATAATGCATTTCTTCACATTGACATCATGGCAACATACACCTAAAGAGGTTCATGGCTTAAGGATAAGGCTCTGTTGCCAGTATCTGCATGACAAAAACATAACGCTCACCTTATTGTTTTGCATGTCTTTGTTGGCGCCATTCTTGAGAAGCACCACAGCAGCATCCACATTGTTCACTGCGGCAGCCCAGTGCAAAGCTGATTTGCCTGAAGACACACAAAAGTATAAAAAATATTTTTAGTTAAGAAAATAGCACAGCAGAGCTAGTCGATAAAATATTCGCTGGCTTTTTTTCTCCTGAGTGGAATCAATTTAATTAAGACATTATTGGGAAAAGATTTAAGACTCACTGGGCAGTCTGACTTGAATTCACACTGGGCAGCAATAAAAGAAAATGGCC